CCGCCCCGCCAGCCCCGCGCCCGCTCCGCCGCCGCGCAGCCCCGGCGCGGGAATGCGGCCGCTGCCCGCGGGAGCGGTCCCCGGAGCTCTGCCAGCCTCCATGTTTGGGGCTGTTTCTTTGCTAAATTCACCGTGAATTCACCCCGAAATAGATCTCCCCGATAATTTTCTGCTAATAAGGGCCCCGCTTTTATTTCGGTTGGGATAAGTCAGCGGAGCGACGGCCATGGCGGGTTGGGGGATCGATTTCGAGCAGGTTCCTCCGCAGGTTCGGGCGCTGCACGGATTCCCGAGCGTGTGCCTGCCGGGTCGCTGTACGCGGGAATAAACGATGGATATGTGTGGATATTTTATTATTTAGCGGCAGCTGAGGGAAAGCTTTTAGGATGCCGTGGAGCTGGCTGGCTCCTCGTCCCTCTAAAATTCCCGTTTGCCTCGGGCTACGACCTGTTATTTGACCTTTAGACACCCCCGAATATAGCAGAGTTTTTCTTTCGAAATAGAAATAAACCGACGTGGTGGGATGACTCCGCCGAGCGGAGCTGGGCCCGGCCCCGGGCCGGCCGGGGGGGCCCTCAGCCCTCTCGGGGGGTGCGCGAGTAGGGAGAGCTTTCGGGCGGGGGCCGGGGGTGAGCCCAGAGTGACACGCGTTCATTTTGATTTCATTTGAGAACATTTGATGGTTGTAGATCTTTCTCTGGTTTGTTGCATCACCACAGCTCACTCCTTAAAACAGTAATTCAAGATGTAAGTAAAAGTGTTTTCATTTTTATTGATCCTGCTAACATCTTTCATTACCCAACACGTAACCACAACAAATGATTGCTCATTTGATACGCAGAATTTTATCGACGCTCTCTCCCAGGCCGGGGCGCGGATCCTAAATCCCGGCGGCTTTAGGTGCGGTGCTGCGCGGCCGCGTAGCGGGCAGGGCGGGAGGGCAGGCACAGCCCGGGCCCCGCGGGCCCTGCCTGGCCGCGGCTCCTGCCCTCCGGCCCGGCCCCTGCCCGGCCCGCTGTCAGGGCCAGCAGCGCTGTCCCCGCACTGGTCCTGGCGAGCGGAGGGCAGTGAGCCCTGGGGGGAAGGCAGCGCACCCCCAGTTTGCCCCGCGCCCGACGGGGCGCACCGGGCCGGGCCCGGGCCGAGGTGCGGGGGGCTGCCCGCGGGTGGGGGGCTGCCCGCCGGCCCTGCCCGCCGCTTTCGTTCCCTCGCAGCGAAACCCAACAAGTAGCGGGAGGAGAAGCGGCCGCGCCGCCGGCCCCGCACTGCCTCGGCCGCCACCTACCCCGGCAGCGCCGGCGGCCAGGCGGTCCTTCTCTCTCTTCTTCTTTCTCCCGTGTTTGTTTTTTTTTTTTAAATACACTAAATAAATATTTTTTTAAAGGGGCGTTTTGTTTTTTTTTTTTTCAAAAAATACAAATAGAAGTCATTAAACCATTAGGGCTAATAGAGAACACCGAACGGTTTAAAACTGTGGATCCTGTTTCATTTACACGATCTCTTTCGGCTAAGGGCGTGAAAGGTTTTTCAGGGACCAAACAAATGCTACTACTTTAACTCTCTTTGAGAATATTATTTTTGCCCTTAATACTAGAATGGAAGGCAAGTTTATGAGGGAAAGGCTCAAAGAATTGGTTTCGATGCAAGAGACCTACAGTGAAATTAAACTAGGTGGATTCTTTATTAAATGATTTCGGTCTTCTGTGGTTTTATGAAAATAAAAGGGAGCACTTTGTCATTTTTAACAATGTAAGTAGCCAATAAATCTAATTTTCACATTGATTTCTGTAGGAATTAAGTGATATCTACACTATCTGCTGTGAATTGTTTTTGGAAACAAGTGCGACTTTCTCCTGGCGGAAGCTGTTTTTTAAAATAATAATTACAAAATTTTTTTTTTAAAAAAAGTACTTCTTATAGCAGCAGCGTTTTAAAGTATGAAAAAAAATTATCTATGAGATTGATCATGTATATCCGAGACGGCATCTAGACAAAGAGTTTTATAAAATGCGCTAGGACAGGCACAGAGAGAGCATTGCATGGCTAAATGTCGAATACGAATAATTACAGAGAGGAACAGTTTACAGAGCCCTCGGTCTGGCGTCCGCAGAAGGGGGAAAAAGAAAAAAAAAAAAAAAAAGGTGAGCCAGTATATTCGCTCGTACATGTAACTAATAAAGACCTCAGCCGAGGAACCCAGGGCACTGTGAGCAGCGCTGCCAGATTAAAACGTGTCCCTGCCTTAATTGCTAACTCGGGGCCACGTGCTGCCTGCGCGGGCAGGTGCCCTTCCCGGGGCGCTGGCAGAGCATCACCTCTGGGCACTCGGCAGGGATTTAATAGCACCTTTCTCTAAATAATAACCCAGATGAATAGTGTTCACCAAAGCGCTTTTGATCCCTGTTATGTTACCGTCCGTGGGTTTGGACAGCCCGAGCCGCTGTGACCTCAAGGACTCCTTCTGTCTCGGGGTACCAAGGCGTGTCCGCGTGGGCGAGGGGCAGCGGAGAGGACAGGAGCCCCCGCACCCCTCCCGGGGCAGAGCCGATGCGGGGAGGGAGGGCCAGGGCAGCCGCGTCCTG